ACCATTTGTGACCTCATGCGTGAGCAAAGATCGAATAAGTTCAAGAACCATACTTGTCACCGACGCACTGTATTGTCTTCCTTGAATGTCGAGAATGATAAGACTCAGCACAATCTTGCTGTTATGTTGTGACCCAATGTTGTAATTTATACGATTTCTCGCGTGTCCTGCAAAACTGCCAGGGGTAAGGAGAATTTACTACTGAACCCTCTTGCTTTCTTCATTGCAGCCCTCACGCCACTAATTTTGTCCCATTCGCAGGAGTGTCCGTTCTCCAAGCTCTTGCGCAGTAGCCTTAGGGGCGACGAGCTAGGTAATTACGCATTTCCCAGGCTGAGCCCTTGGTCCGAGAGCGCTAATGAAGAGTCCAATGAGGAGGAAATGAGGGGTTTCTTGCCCAAGTATGGCTCGTCTGGCTGGTGCCATCTCTTTGCCTTGAAATTCTCGAAAGACAAGAAGAGGTTCTGGAGAAGATCAGGCGACTTCACAGTACGAGAACATGTGATGGGGTGATAATGAATTCGTTGTGCCGCATTGGAGCAGCTCTACTGACCTGGTAGCATCCGCATCTTGAGGAATCCAATCAGCGCTTAGCTCAACATGGCGAGAGGGATCAGCTGCCTGGAGAGGCAATGGCGCGTTCAAGATAGCACAAGAGAGAGCTTCCAATATCCGAGTTCCTGAGATGGTGAGGCGCGAGAGCAATGGCGAGGGTACGGAAACAATACAGGTCATGGTCGGCCGACTTCATACTGTGGGTTCCTCAGCTTTAGGGTTGGATGACTCTTCATCTCCCAGATCCAGAACAGGACTTCTGTTTTATGCCGGGGTTACATTCGAAGTATTCACTAGTGAAACAGTAATGAATGAAATAGAGCTTGCCCCCGTCTAGGGAATCATCAGCCGATGAGGCTTCTCTCCATCCAGTCTGACCTCCAGCTTGTCCTCGTCCAGGTCGTGCGACGCGATGGCCACAGTCTCAGCCGTTACCTCCCTTGAAATGCGAATTTAGGCTCCGAAAACGTCTCCATCCCGAAAAAGTCCCCAAAGATACTGAATAAGTATCTAAATGGTTGCATCCGCCCCCCAGAAAGCCCAGGAAGTCCCCGGACAAAGTCCCAGGCATTTGATCAAAGGAATCTGCCTGAGTATGCGGAACGGTGTTTCGCTGCGACCCTACTCTTGCGCCACCATGTCATGCGTGCTTCGTCCGGAAATGCTTCATTGAGTTCAATCCGCCCACTGGCCTCAACGAAATCAACTCTGTCTCACGCCGCCGCTACATTCATCTTGAGCCCTCTCAACATCGTTCCCAGGTCTTCTGTTTTGAATGAGTGGAAAAGAAGTAATCAGCAGGAACTGACTGAGATGTTTCAAAAGCCTCGGCACATTCACTCGCAGTGCGATGTTTCCATGCCTGTGCTCGACTGACTCTGTTCACTTGTTCAACGCTAGCATCTGCGGAATGATTGCATTCTTGTTACTGAGCTCGATCCAGTCGAACGCATAATCGTTAAAGGCCCGTTTGGTTAGATCTTTCAACGTCTACTGCACCTTTGAGTTCACCTCAACAGCGACCGCCTACAGATATTTGCCATTTCTACCCCGAAGAAGACCGACAATGCCGGGCACGTCAGATGTTCTTACAAAAGTGCCTATACTGTTGATGGGCCCATTGCCGTCGTTCCATGAGCCAGCAGTGCTGGCCACTGGACTTGGATACCGCAAAGGACCGCCATCGAAGGCTTGACTGTTGGTGAACATGACCTGAGTCTTGCTGCCCACAAGGTAGCTGAGCTTGATATTTGCAAGGCTCTGAAAGTCAAAGTGGTCTTTGCCTGCATCATTTGGTCTGTAGAAGAAATTGTCGCTTGGAATAGCCTGGCCGATGAGCCTGCAGGCCTCCTGAGCCTTGCCATCGAAGAAATCGGCGTACGACAGATTGAAGATCAAAAGCTCTTTGACGAATTGGTGTTGATTGAGATAGTCCTTGATCTGGGCCAGGATCTCGTCCAAATCAGGCCGAAGGAGACCATGCTGAAAGGAGAAATGACTGTCAGTGTCCCAGTAGATGGGCGAGTCCAAGAATCAAAGTCCCCCGTGAAGCTGCTGAAAGATGTCTAGATCCACAGCTTGCGAGATACCCGATACCACCACTTTGAAGACGAGATCCTACACCTGGCCGATATGAAGTGAGCTGTTCGGAATGAACGGGAAATTGATGAGCCATGCGGTGTCACCATTGGGCACCTCAATAGGTCTCAATGCCCAGAAAAGTCCGATTTCATCGTACTGGATGCCGGCTGACTTGTCTCCAGCTCTGTTCTCCCAGTCTGCTTCCTTGTAAGGCAGGCTTGGGAGAGTGCCTCAGTGCCACTATCGTGTGAGCCGGGGAGACGAGTCTCTTGAAGTCTCTTACCCTGTATAGCGTCATCCTCATCCAAGTACTAGTGTGGACCAAAATGCCGGTACTAGGTGGGACTGGCTCATGTGCGTCCAGCGTTTTCTTTGGGCTGAGATCTGTCTTTGGCATCTTCTGCGAGGGGAGCTCGTTTCGTCCATTGATTTTCGAAGTATTGTTGAAATCGTCGTTGATGAAGGATATCAAGGTCTTGATATCCAAGATTAACAACAAGAAGGAATCGATGGGAGATCAGAGTAGTTTCGCAACCACCCAGAACTGAGCTGGAGCAGTAAAGTCGTCCAAAGACACTCGGAACCGTTCAGTCTATATGCTCAAAGGTGCAAGGCTCACGGTCAACCCCAGCATGATTGAGAACCCAGTGATGGAAAAGTTGAGACCATTCTTGCTACCGCCAGGAACATCAGCAGTGGCCGAAACAGCCGTAGTGTTGTTCAGCTTGAGAATGAGTTTGACATCGTAGACGTCCTGCGGGATTGGAGTTATGCTGGTGTAGGAGCAGTCCGCCGGATTCATATTGATGTTCTTGAGAGCGAAAATGCAACCTCTGTCAACAGCACTGAATGGCACCCTGTTGAGATAGTTGATGATTGCGGGCAAATCCGCGCCGAAGAAGTTGTTGACAAGTAGAGAAATGAGACCTGAACCCACGAAGAAATCCAGATGGAAGTTACCAGACGAATCTGGAGATGCCATGCCAGCTACCGTATATTAATCGAACTGAGTCATCCTGTCGCTGGTGTCATTCCGTGCCCTGCCAAGCTTGACATGGATCTTATGGTTGTGATTGAATCCCAGGTCGAAGGAATACTGGTCGGGGAACCAGGATATGTAGACATTCTGATTTTTGGAGCTACCAGCGTTAACGGGACCTTTCTAGAAGTTGTAGCTCATGTCATGGGCGTTCTAGATGTCGACGTGGACGGATGCAAGGAAATAGTTCCACATTGTCATGACCGCCTCGGCCGTTGCTTACAGGGTAGGGGTTGCACCTGGGCCTGGTCCCATGACAGCTGCTACATCCTGTGTGACTGCTGCATGATGGGCTGTGGCGGTGGCTTCCTTGAGAGGAGGACTGCCAGACTGTGGTACGGCCACGCCAACCGAGAGCGTTGCAGTAAAATCAGACATGATTGGTAGGAGTATTTGGGATGACATAGATGATAGTACTCCTTCTGCTGCCGTCGCTGCAACCCAAGCATGCCAGCGATGCATACCTTTAGACCCATGCCCGCAGGACGTGGCATTGCGCATCCAGCTGCGCTCGTGTTGGTATGACATTCGCATGTCAAGCATCTAGACCATTTGATATTCTGTGTTCCTACAAGCAGCTATAGCGGATGCACTTCACCTTCAGATATTTGTAATGAACCAGTTGATGGTATGCCCAAAGGAACAAAGCGTCGTTGATCTCCTTAGCGACCAAGACATGGGAGTTTTGGTTCCCGCTAGGTATATCCAGTATGGGAATACCCCCAGTGGGTAGAAGCGGGAGGGTTGAATACTCCCGTGTCTCGGTTGTCAAGGAGATGCGTAGGATGAGAACATGTCAGTGAAGGGCGAGGATTGTAATGATGCTCAGCGTGAAGGCTTCGACCAGGATTCGGACAGCATAACGATGTGGCAAAGACTCTCGAGTCTTCTTACCTCAATTCTGACAAGTCAGGACGCTCAGTCATCCAGCCAGCGGTGTTCAGCTGCTGTCCAAAATTCAAGTCATACACTGCTCCGGGAGACAGCTATGCATGTGGCTATGGCTCAGACATTCGACCCAAGCTCTGTGAGTCAGATCCGAAGGGCTTCGGAGACACCTGTACAACAGAACGTTGCGTTTAGGTCATTGGTGGCTGCCCCTGTCGCTTTACAAAGGACAACAAGATTGCATCCTTTCAATACCTGGCATGCAATGGCAACGACTCTGGGTCAGTACGCGACTCGCAAGTCAACAGCCAGAACTTCGATCAGCCAGATCTGGGGTTCGTGAACATTGGAGGAGACAATCAATCCTTCTTTGCAGGAGTTATTATGTCCTGCGATTTTCGGTATGCGGCAGAAGCATGCAAGACTGCGGCGAGAGGATCATGAATGGTCTGGAAAAGAGCTACAACAGTGTTTTTGCGGCGACCAAAGCAAAGGTCCAGCCGTCTACCAAGGTTGTTGCCACGAGCTATGCTCATGTCAACTCCCACGAATGCACCTGGCCGCCGAATCTACCAACCGCTTCAGGGAAGCAGAGAATGAATCAGCTGGCGCGAACCATGGACGACAAACTGAAGACTTCTGCTCATAAGGCTGACTTCCTGTATGTTGATGTCCACACGGTGTTTGAGGGCAACCGCATCTGGGATCCGACCGGCCAGGAGAGCGTCAAATGGTGGTTCCAGCTCACTGTGAGATTTGGATGAGATACGGTAACGAATGTTCGCTTGCGCACCCACGAGAAGATGGACAGAGGGGCATGCTCACGGCGCTGTTCTCAGCACTGGGTTGCTAGTGCGAGGATTTACACCGGAGAATCTTATCAGGCAGTTCATGTCGACTAGATGCTAAGCAGCACCAGCTCAAGAAAAGCTCCTTCTCAATAGGTGACATTCTCTCCAGAGTACACCATCACTGGAAACATGCTAGTAGCATGTTAGTAGCAACCAGGTTCTGAAAGGCATGTACTTCGCTCCCGAGACATTTTTCGTGTGTCATGCGACGGGTAGCCCGTCAATGAAGTTGCATCAAAGCCCCTCGCGATCATCAGCTTTGTGGCACGGCTCAAGCTTGAAGAAAAGGGAGGGTTTCCTCTTTCGAAGGGCCACTGGTTTGCTCCGTCAGGACATTCGACGAAAAGTCCATTTCCCGCCCAAATTCCCGATTGCCACGTCTCGTGCCAAACGTGTACTTCGTCTCGCCAGACATGACTTATATTCATGAGCTGAAGATACTGTTGACTGTGTGTACGTCGAAGGCGTGGAGAATCGTCGTCTAGAAAGTTGATGTCTGAATCCCGTAAGATGTATGGGGAGCGGGCGGTGGTGGCCTGCCGGGAGTAGGAGCCATCACATTGCAGAAACGGCAAGGGAGTGATCGGTTTCGTTTGCGCCACGTCGGCTTTCATTGAAGGAGCATCCATCGCGGCGGAACAGCTGCTTGGGGGATAGGCTGACCGTGACTTGAATGGGTGGCGGGCAGGTCGAAGAGGATAGGGCAGTTGGCGTCATCTAGTCTTCGCATTCCGTTTCACGCATCCCAGAAGGATACTTGTTGCAATCTGTCTTGGAGATGCTATCGTGACGGGAATTGTTGCCACAGGGACACAGAAACACAACGCTGGGAGTCTCCTGCAGCGGCGAGGTGGTTGATGGGGATGACCTCAGACCGCAGTATCTTCCAGAGAGTTGAAGGAGAAAGCACAGGGCGAATCCTCGCAGAAGGCATCTCGGTCCGCGTTCTTTGCGTTGCATCTTCCGGGCGTTGTGGGTTCGGGGTTCTTAACTTCTGCGGTGCCGAGTTCACGGTACCGACCTTGTAGATGGCGTCGAGGGCGCCGCTCGTCTCGGCCTTGGGCTCAATGATGAGCTGGTCGAGATCAAGGTTGTTGCTGTCGAATAAGCCACCACGTTGAAGATTGCTTGCAGCGGTCGACTGATGCTCCAGTGGCCAAACTGCACAGAGTTGGGGAAAGGAGGCGCGGGACATCGTAGAGCCGGAAAACGACCGCCGCTGATGAGCATGGCCGTCGTCGTCGTTGATGTGTGTCCTGCCAAGGGACTTGCGTCCCGGCTTGACTACCCCGATAGGTTCATGTCATGGCTTGCTGTCGACTAGCAGTAGTATCGGGAGCGGCGCCATGTTGGCGGCGTTTCCGTTCCTGACATGGTTTTGGGGGCGTGGGTGGCGCATCACATCGGTACGAACACGCGCAAATGGAGCTGGGACCGTGGGGTTGCAGGTAAATTGAACTTGTTCGAGATGTAGTTGACGGGAATGGAGGCATATTATTCTCGGCCCAAGAACCGCATAGTATCATAAGAAAGACAAACAGTGCCCAGCCGAACACCTCGCTTACGTGGTGTCACGACCTGGTACAATACAAGCATTCGTCCACCGATTTGTTCCCACAGGTCCTGGCGCAAATCTCCAGGACTTTTACGTTTGCCGGTCGGGCTCGCACCAAGTGCTGGCGATCACAGTCTCTCGAGTCTTTGGCGGCTGTGTAAATACTGCCAGTTTGCTCTGCTGGTATTGGAAGGCGCTGGTTATATTGGGCTTGGGCTCATCTCTCGTTCAGGAGAAAGACGGTCTTCCTGAGGCGAGTCGAGGAATCTCCTGCCCGGGGCAGCCCAGACAGACTCGGGAACCTTTGTCGACTTTGGAGCCTCAACGTCGACTGGAGTGGGCTTTGAATAGATATCGTTATCGGGAGCTTGGTCTGGAGTAGCAGCAGGCTGGGTTGAGACTGGAGCTTGCGAAGGTTTCAAGGATTCCTCGTGTTGACGCAAGGCAGCAGAAGGCAACGCAATCAGACGACGGCGATGACGAGCGACCGGTGTTGCCTGTGCTGTTGCTGGGCCCAGAATAGCAGCCTCTTGGAAGCAGCCTGGTCCATCTGCCCTCCAGGTCTCTCCGCGAATTGTCCCTTGGCTAATGACTTGGTAGCAGGCTATCCCGCCGTATCCAGCAATCCCTACTCGGACTCGGGTCCAACAAGATTACCAATGGGAGCGTCGGGACGTGTAGCAATGCAGAGCTTCGGAAGTACAGGGCCTAGATGAGCGACGCAGATTCGAAATCGGGGCGGGGTGGAGGTCGTGGAGTCATCTGGGGGTGCCGTTAGTAAGAATGCCGTAGCGATGGAGGGGTGTGGAGAGAACAATTAGGAATTGACCAACCTGCAGGGCTTGTTCTCTGCGTCGGCTCGAGACAACAGACCTCGTGGCAGACGGAGGACGAGGAGAGACACTCGGTCGCCGTGGAGCAGCGGGGACGCCGGAGTCTTGTCCGTGTCGACGACAATGCGAACGAGACCCTCTCCCAGGATACGCTGGTGGGCCCAGCGGGCATCCAACGGCTACCGAAGAACAGAAGCTGGCGCCAGGAGTCAAGCATGGAGGGTTCGCATAGATCATTTGGGTGGAGGGGGGCAGAGTGATTGTCGTCGAGGTATGTCGCCCATTCGTGAGCTGCTCGAGGAGAGGACTGCCTTGGGGGCGCAGGAGAGCCGAAGAGTGACTTTGGGCAGGGGAGGTTGTGCTCCAGGATCGGATCTCGCATTGGTGGACTGCTTGAATACACGCAAGTATCTCTTGCCAATAGAATCGGACGAAAATCGGGTCGAACTTGGCGGCTTCAGGGTTTTGTCGACTTCGGATGAGTGTGTTGAGATCCAACTCGCCCATCTCCGTAAGCCGAAGCTAGTTTCAAGGTGGCGACGACACTGGACGTCTCGTCAGCGTGGAAGTCGGGGCGGCCGGGCAGCTGTGGCTTGGAAGGAGTCGGCCTGAAGCGACGTGGAAGCATACGCTTCAATGCGTTTCGGAAAGGTGTCTCCTGCGCGGAATCATGAGAGGCGTCGGGCGGCATTGTCGCTGTATTGATCTGCAGCCTTTGATGGCAGGGTACGCATTCTGCAGTGTTGATCTGCGAAAATTTGGCGGTTTGTGTGTTGTTCTGGGGATTACTCACTGGCGTGTCTCACCTGGTCAAGAATTCGCAGATCAACAAATCAACAAGCGGGGTACGTACCGTGCCCAGAAATTTTCAGACCAACAATCGAGACCAACAATCCAGACCAACACCCCTCAATGTTGCCCTGAAGCACAGGCCATGGATATTTAGTACCCACCTTAGGCACCAACTGCGAATCCAAACGCCAGAATCAGCGGTTGGTCGACTCCAGAGGGGTCGCAACCATCCACGCAAGATCCTCCAACGAGCCGCCCCATCCTTCAGGATGTAATTTTGCGTGCATCACTGACGATATATGGACAGAGGCCATCTTCGATATATGTCGACGAGTTCGCAATGATGCATTGGCCGTCTTCATTTACCGGCATATGCTTCGTTCAATTGTCACTGCTGCAGCGTCGCGCAAGGTGGTGCTTGGCTCTTTTCCGACCCCCACTCCATGACACCAGGCAGTCTGCGATGCGCCACTGAGTTTAGTTCGACATCAAGACCACCTTAGGTCGGCTCGGCCCGTCCCGCTGCATGTTCGTCCCATGTTTCCCCAGGGGAACTCTGACGGCGCAATCGTTCGGGTGCGTCAAGGTGTGGCGTCACCATTGAGTATCCCCACGTATGCATCTCCGCCACGTCCCCTCCTTTGGTGGCTACACGTTCACTTACTTGTCTGGGTCATCTGTCCGTGTGCGATTCGCTCAGGCGAGGTGCGTGGATGGTGGATTTTCGTGGAGAACGATGGTCCCTACGTGTCCAGCTGCATCGCTCGCTCTTGGTCTTGGAGGTGCGGTCGGGTGCGGTCGGCCAAAAACGGACTTGACATCGAGTTCCAACACGTGCGGTAAATTGGCTACTTGCAATCCTGTACCCTCACCCAGCGATGGATACACCACGGAGAGCTAGATTAGTAGTCGTGTCAGCGATGAGGGACAAATGCCCGGTGGTGCATGTGGTGGTCGAGGGATTGCCGCATGATTGAAGGCGTCAGGCCGATTTCCACTTGGGCAGTGGGCGAGACTTCCTATCTTGATCCCGTTCTCTTGCAAGAACGAGATCGGCTGGTGCTGCTGATAACTGTGGAATCGGCAGCACTTCCCTTGGCGGATCACAGTGGAGTTGACAGGTGTGCAGGCCGCCGTCCCAGGAAATTGGACTGCGCCTTCTTGGCTTGGAGGACCGGACGGCACTGAAAGCAGCAGGAGGTCACTGAGAGAATTGGCAGTTGGTCCACGTCCAGCCGACACACCCACACTTACCTGGCTGGCGAAGGCCTAGGACGGAAGTGACGTCACACATACCATTGTGGCTTGACCTTGATGTCGATTTGGTGGCTTGATGCTGATTTTTGGTGGCCTGGTGATAGTTTGATGGCCCGATGCCGACTTTACCGCAGCCACCCCTTTGAGCCACCAAAAGAATCAGCATCGAGCCCCTCGTGCGGACCTTTTGTACTGAGACCAAAAACGGCATCGATCCTCTGAACAAGTTTTGTACGGACCAATGGCAGTCCGATTGGCTGCAGGGCCACAGGCACTCCACCAGCGACGGCACGCAGACAGTGAAGGCTTCACTCTTGAGCCGGACCGTTGATCCCGGTGCAGCAAGAGGCATTCTAGCTTCATCCGCGCAACCAGCCCACCACTGCACACTTTAAACTTGGAGAGCCGGCCCGACCCGCAGCAGAAGCGTGTGCGCCGCAAGTTGATCAAGTCGACAAATCTAGGTGTTGGTGTGCATCAATCGAGACGTCCACTGCCCTGCCTTGGTGCACCGTTGCAGCTTCATTGCTCGCTCCGCGGGTCGGCAGGTTAGCGGGTGAAGGCATAAGCTTTCTCACTACAAGCCGTCACTTTTGATTTCTCCAAGCCGCGTTCTTCTTTTTTTTTTCCTCTTTTTTTCCTCCCGCTTTCTCGACGCATTCAAATTGTGGGCCGCCTTCGGACGTTTCGATTTTGGGTGCGTCCGAACACTCAGATGTTCGGACTCACGACGGGTCCGTCCATTCCTGCAGTCGCGCTGGTTGCGATGCAGAAAAATATCGCCTCAATCGCCGTTCAGACGCGATTTACTTGAATGATTAATGATCCTTTGTCGGCGGGTGTTCTCTCAATCGATTTTTGGCGGGGGTTGTGTCGTCGGTGTCACGTCTGTCGGTGTTGGCGGCGCGAAAGTGACGACGTGGCGTGGCCACAGCATCCAATACCTTCGAGGTGGTGGTGCACCGCGAGATACATAGTAGTGATCTATGCATTTATGCATAGTAGTAACTACACCAGGTAGTAGCTTACGCGATGTGGTAGCTCATCTTGGTGCGCTCCCAGCTACCACCTCCCAGCTACCACCTCCCGGCTACCACCTCCCGGCTACCACCTCCAGGCTACCACCTCCAGGCTACCACGCGAAGTGGTAGCTCAGCTTGGTGCGCTCCCAGCTACCACCTCCCAGCTACCACCTCCGCCTCAACTAGTCAGCAGCGCGGAGGACGACAGACATAGCAATTGAAGTCAAATTCTTTCAAAGAGAAAATTTCCAACAAAGATGCACTATCAAAACATCGCGTCATACCGACTTTTCGACTTTTCATCACTGTCATTCGCAAAACGGCGATCGAGGGCATAGGTGACCTCGTTCTCTAAGTGTCTCCATCTGTTAACATGCACCGAAGTCGCTCGTCCATCGCTCTCGACAGACACCCAACTCACACGGAACATCCAGATTCATAGATGCCACGTTGCGGACAGACAAAGTGGAAGGTACGTATCTCCCAAAACCTCCCACTGCCGTGGGAGCTTTTGAGCTTTTCCACGGCAGGCAGGTGCAAGGACATGCCACTGCCGATTTGAGCCCAAGATACGGCAATTGGCCACTGAAAGGCAATCGGCGCCTTCCCTCCACTGCCAGGCACCTTCTTGCCCGGGAAGTCCCTCGCCGCCAGGAAGCTCCCACCGTTGTGGGAGTTTTTGAGTTTTCCGATCAGGCACCTGCCCTCTTTTCCCCCGGAACCAAACCAATGGAAACCACCGCCTACAACCTCAACCCTTGTGTCGCTGATGAGATCGTCTCTTTAATCCCCGCTTCGGCGGTTTGCAACTTCATGTCGCCCCTGGTTCGGCCCGTTAAAGCATTCTGCCATTCTCCGTTGTGCTCGTCCCTTAGCTTCTGGTACTGCCGTGACCTTTCTCACGGTAACCGTTGACTTCTGGTGCAGGTGTGTCGGCCTTAGATACCTTGATGTCCTCCGGCCATCTGATGTCCAGGTACCTTCAAGGTCCGCATGAAATTTGTTCAGTGGCTACCTTACATGTCGAAGCCGCTGCGCCAAATCGGCATCGAGCCGCTAACCCACAGGAGCCCAAACAGCAACACCAACTGACGACTTGACTGCTAATGGGCTTCCTCCATCCCCAGGCACCTTTCACCTTACCCCAGCAAGCTCCCACCTTTGTGGGAGATTTCGAGTAATCATTTGTCGCGACTTTCCATGTCGTCGCCTTTCCTGGGGCCAAATAATGGAACCAGCCGCCCACAGCTTCAACCCTTGGAAGCATTTTGCCATTTTCCTCTGCGCTCGTTTCTCGGGGTTGGGCATTTCGGGAGCCACGCTTACGGGAGACGTCGAATTGACCCAGATAAGAGGATCTATACCGCGCGTGGAGCGTTGAGACAGGTCAGGCTACCTCGTGCGCATGTTCCCGAGAAGACTTGATGGCTGCTCTGGATCGGTGGCTCCAGTAGCGCAGCGTCTTGTTCGATCCACATCCGCAAGAACGGACACGACAGGCTTCGAGCACCCTTTCCCCTCCCAAACGAATGCCACTTTCTGGCTGCCCATTGCTGCTACCGAATGGCTTTTGGCGTTTCGATAACGAGCAAAGTCGGAACAGGGTGTTGGGATGGGCGAAGGCGGCGGATGCGAGTTCAGAGCACGTTCATGTGCATCGAGAAACTCGGAGGTTCGAGCCGCGACTGGCTTGCTATGATCACCAGGCGGCAAGAGAGACGACCTTTGAACTCGAAGTCGAAGCCTCAACCGCGAAGGCACCTTGTCTCGGCATTCAGAAGTGCATATCCACAAGCCATCACCAACGCCTCAGCGACGACCATGAATCGACCCTCGAATGTAAAGGTTGCCGGGATGACACAATCGAAAATCTCCGGAGTCGAAGACATCCCCATTCTTGTCGACGCTGTAGACAGCACAGTGCATTGAGCAACGTCCAGTCCTACCAAGTCCGCCACCAAAGTCTTCAGCTTACCCAACGGCGCTTGGCACGGGTGCAGCACCTCTATGGAGCGGACCTCCGACCCATCATCGCCATTCATGTCAACGACATGGAGTCTGGCGCTCGACAGGTTCGTCGACCCCTTAGGGAAAGGGAGGAATTACACCAAGTTATTTTGGGCAAACTTTTTCGGTGAAGAGCGTCGGCCCATGCTATCAGGGAATGAAACGGGTATCGAAGTTGGTCCAACGACCCCCATACTCCGAGTGGTCTTCAAAAGCAAGAGGAAACGGCCCCCCTCAAGTTTGAAGAGGGCCTACTGCAGGGTCACGAAGAATCATGTGGATCCCCATGTTGATTGCTCACGCGCCGACGCTGGCGCCACGATTGCAAGAAAGCAGCGACATGCATTGTAGGGTAACAACCACTGCAGAGATGGATGATAACAGTGACGACTGCAGAGACTATGAGATAGCCTTCAGATGAAATAGTCGTCATGGAGTGCAGAGAAGTTGGGTACAGATGGTGCGCCTGTTTGGTGGCGCGTTACGAACTCAAGATGGCTTTGGAAATCTCATGCCTTTAGTTTCCGGACGTTTTAAATCTGTTCCTTAAGTCACTTGCGATCGAGACAGGGGCAACATGTTGTCAATTTATCATTCGGATTCCTCCCGATGTAATCTAGACGATGAATCTTTGTGGGTTGACATCTGTCAAAGCCGACTTCCTGAAGAATATCACTGCAGAAACTCGTTTGGGCCAAATGGCCAATGCATACTTCAATTTAGCTCAGATTGGAAACGTTTGGCGTCGTAATCTTGCAGATACCGGTAAGAAAGGATGGCTGGTGTGTCTGGAGTGATCTGTAGGCGCTTGTCTCCAGGGCCATGGGTTCTGGGATATATGTCAACTGCCACTCGGATAACAAGGCATATGGGCCAAGCTGTGGCGTCTGGCCATTTGGATAGCATGTATTTATCAAGTGGGACGGAGGCCCAGTCAATACAATACGGTCTTGCCACGTTGACGGAAGATGGAGAAGCATCAATTAGTGTCGGATCCGAGGACCACATTAAGCCAATCGAATACAAGCGCAGGTAGACTCTGTACACGCGGTCAACAAGCCACAAAGGATAGATGGATGGCAAATGACCACTTCTGGATTGCGTCATGCTAGAGACATTTGCTTGTAGCCGATTAACAAAGAACCCATCAGGTGGACAGAGGTAGAATAATCCCTTTGCAGCAGAATTTACAAAGGATGTGCGTGAGAAATGCTGGCTGAGAGGTTGCATTGAAGGCTGCTGAAATCAAGCGATGACTGCGGAGCAGGAATCATGAGTTGTTTCGAGTGTTCAGGAGATCGCAATCGGGAGGGCGACCGGCTGCTCCGGCCTGCCCCATAATTCCCGTCCGATCGGCCCCACTCGACCCCGATATATAACCGTAAGCCACTTGAACCGTAAGCCCTACGACACATGCGAAAGTCCACGCCAAAGGACTAGTGGTATTATTAGCAAGGTCGTGTTGAATGGTCTCGCCATTTTCGGATTAGTGAGTGACCAGTTGCCGATTCTAGCGCTCAAATCGGTAGTCGGTGCCGGAGCGGCCGCTGTGACGCCGTGCCGCCGCGCCGTCCTGGCTGTGACTTCCGGTCGCGAGTAGTGTTGTTTCGCTGCAACTATTGCACCCATGGTACATCAATGGCTTTCGGGACCGTCTTAGCTCAAGCTTTGAGAGCAATTACACATGTTTCACCCGGTTCCCATGAGATTGACGCTGGTTTCTTTCGAATGGATTTCTATTGTCCCCATTGAAGTGCATACCGATCCTATCTCTCCATCACGTATCATCTATTTGCATTTATTGTCCTTATTTTGTGACCTGCCCACCTCGAACACTTCGAGTGCAGGGTGGAGCTTTTGTAGACATCTCCGAGATGCAACTTGGAACCAAAGGACATGATGCCTTCCCCGCGACACTGGAAGCGCATCGCCCAACCGTGGCGGGTCTTTAAGCCAACCACTAGCTAATTGAAACTAGGACGAAACAATACCATAACTAGCCTCAAGGCTGGC